CTTCCTTGTACTGGGGCATACTCATCACTGTATCATTCCAATTTTAGTATGATTGGTGGTGGTTGTGTGCCATTGAGTTGGTTTTGACTCAAAAGCGATCCTGTATAGGGTTTCTAAGGCTGTATATCTTAATGGGAGAAAGCCTCATCGTTCTACCATGGAGTAAATGGTAGATTCAAACAGCTGACCTTGTGATTAGCAGCCCAGATTACGATCCAGGGCTGTTAAATAAGCAGTTTATAGTTCTTTTGGATTTTTGGTGTCGTGCTGTAGAATCAGCACTGGACTGTGCTTAACAAGGTCAGCAGTTCAAACCCACCAGCTGCTCCTTGGAAGCCCTTTATAGGACAACTATGAGTTGGAACTGACTTGATGACGCTTAGCAACATTTGTTGTTGTTATGTGCCGTGGAGTCGGTTCTGACTCATAATGAGTCTGTATAGGGTTTCCGAGGCTGTAAATCTTTATGGCAGCAGAAAGCCTTATCTTTCTCCCATGGAACAGCTGGTAGTTTTGAACTGCTGACCTTGAGGTTCACAGCCTGATTCATAACCACGACATTACCAGAGCTCCTTAGCAACAACATAGTTCTTTTAAATAGTGTTTGTTATAGCAACTGGATCACAAAGAGCCTTTTTACCCCTGTATGAATCAGGATCCAATTTTTAAAATGGGAAATTTAACACAGAGAATTGTTTACACAAGTGATTTTGTTGTGGTTAAGTACTATCGTGTTAGTTTTGACTCATAGTGACCCTGTCTAAGGTTTCAGAGGAGCAGCTGGTGGGACTCCATACAAGTGATAGAAGAGCTAAGGGGGGGGAAAAAGTCAAAGGGAAGGAGAGATAAAGTTAGAAAGCTGGAAGCTGGTCAAATGGACAAATGCACAATGATGCTATTTCTGGAGTTCAGAGTCTGGGGTCACTGGCAAAATCTGGACTTACAGTAGATATGTTCAGGGGGAGCAAAGATAAAAGAAGATGCAATGGATGGCAGAACTGAGGTAGGGGACAGGGAAGAAATATTCTGGCTTTTCTCTTTTCCTTCTATTTTCCAATTCCCTGCCAAAGCCTCCCACTGGCCATCAGCTGGAAGTCAGTTGTCACATGAGCCTGGTGAATGGAGCATGAAAGGGTCAACCCCCTTATAAGACAGAGCAGATCAAGTGAAGAAAAGGAATGAAAAGCAAATAGTCCAAGGACTGGAAAAGTAATAAATTTTTCTTAACTTGTAAAATGAACTCTATTGAGGTATAATTATATACAATAAAATGTTCTTATTTTAAATGTACACTTTGATAATTTTTGACAAATAAATATATAACCACCCACTCAGAACATTTTAATCACCCCATAAAGTTCTCTCTCCCCTTTGCCATGGATTCTCTATCCCCACCTCAGCTCTAGGCAACCACTAATCTGCATTCTGTCACTATTAAATTAGTTTTGCCTGTTGCAGAATGTCATATAAATGGAATCATACAGTATGCACTCCTTTATGTCTGGCTGTTTTTAATCAGCATTGTTTTGAGATTCATCCATATTGTGTTTATCAGTAATTCATTTCTATTTTTTACTGAGTAGTATTCTATTGTGTGAATAACCACAATTTGTTGATCCATTCACCTACTGATGGACATATGGGTTACTTCCAAGTTTGAACTTATTATGAAGAATGCTTATGTACAGGAGTGTTTTTCCTTGTTTGTTTTTATGTAGGTTTTCATTTCTCATGGGTAAATAAACACCTGGGAGAAGAATTGTTGGGCCAGATGATAAGAAACTGCTAAACTCCAACAATTCTTTTTAACCTTATAAATACCATTGTTACCATGAATGTCCATGGAAGGATATTAAGCCTTTCCTTCAAAGAGCTAAGGGTTAGAGAGAGAACAGTTCTTATGAGATTTTTATTTAAATAGCTTTGATACAGATTATGCTTTTCATAGCTCAGTATTTTTTTGACAGTAAGAAAGGGGATTAAGGAAGTGTAAAAGGAGAGGAACTGAAAAGAAAAGCAAAGTGATGCAAAATAATGACTAAAAAGACTTCTTAACAATGGCAAAATCATCCTACACAGCTGCTCTAAGATCCCAGCTCTGCTGTCAGCAACCTTCTGGCAAAGTTACTCTATGTCAAATGCATGCAAAAGAATCCATATTAATCTTTTGTGAATGAATAGTTTTATTAATTTAAGGAAATCGTTCTCTCATTTATAGTAATATAGAGGTGTGGGCTTTTTCTTGTACTCTTAGTAGTAATGTTTCCCCAACATATATCACTTCCCTTTGACATGTGGGTTGAGTCATAAATTAATGTCACAAATAAATGTCATTAGAGGGAGGCAACTACATTACAAAGTAGGAAGGTGAAGTTTGATGTGAATTGTTACAGTTGACAGTTGTGTACCCTTGAACTAAACGTTTTCATGTCTAATTCTGAGATATTAAACCATTGTTGGGATATAAAATTGCGGACATTTAGGTTTGCAGATGAAAAAGTTTTGTCAATCTTTTCTAGACATTCTGGAATGTAAATAAACAGGTGGATTGGAAACAAAGACAAATAAGGAGTTTAAAGACTTTCTTGGCATCTCATAGAGAAATTGCCCTACTCTAGTGATATTTTAAACAAAACACGTATAAATATATTTTACTTGTCTGGAAACAGACTTTTATTTATTGGGTCTTTCCGTTTACCTTCGAGACAGAAATAAATAGTTATGAAGGACTCCCAAGCAATTTTCTATCAAGTATTATTTAATCTCAAACTAGGATAGACAATGGAACTCTATTTAACATGATACCATAATGTACATTAGTGAGTTAAACCCACTTAATCTTAAAATAACAGTATCAGGGTAGGGATTTAGAATACAGTATTATATGAAATCAGTTGGCAGGGAGAGTCCCTTTTCTGCCATTAATAAATGATTGGAAACAGTATTTCAGACCCTAAATCCAACTGAAAACCAGAACAATAAATGAAGAGGATGGGGTGGATAATTTGTGAGAACATGTTTTTCAAAGTAGGGAAAGAATCACTATGTTTTTGCTGAATTATATGTTGCCATGGACATGGCAGTATGCAGTAATGATGCTATCTTCTATACAGCTGTATAACAACACAGCTTCTCCCTCCCCCATCCCTCTCAGTAAGGCTTGAAAATAATAGGTTTGTGTGATAGTTTGGTACGAAAATTAGAACCATTTAAAATCGTTTCAGTTTCAGTCTAAGAAAGAAAGAAAAGAGGCTTAGGGGGATAGAGAAGCAAACAAAATGTAGAAGAAATGCATAGTATGTAATAAAGTATAATGTTCATTATGCTGACACTAAAAAAAGGAGTCTTGATGTACTGGAAAACGAATGCATTTGCAGTGAAAAGAGTTGGGTTGAGTCCTTATTGCATCACTTTTATGTGACCTTGAGCAAAGTCACTGTGTTAGAGGCTCGATTTCCTCATCTATAAAGTGGAATCATAATGGCAATGTCTTGTGCCTCATGGGGCAGAGGTAAGGATTAAAGGAGTGAATATCACTTGTAAAGTATAAAGTCTTATAACAGGGGTGGGGAACGTCTGGCCCGTGGGCCCACAAAATCATTTAATCTGGTCCTGCCAAGATAACTGCAGTTCTAGTTATTATTAAAGTTGTTGTTATTAAATGACGTCAAGTCGGTTCTGACCCACAGCAACCCTATATAGGGCTTCCAAAGAGCAATTGGTGAGCTTGAACTGCTGACCTTGTGGTTCAAACCAGCTTTGCAATCCAGTGCATTAACCCACAACACCACACAGCAGGCTTATTTTTAAGTTTATAATTTTGTATGGCCCACGAATGATGTTATACATTTTGGCAGAAATAAGGTTCCCTATCACCTTCCCTATAAAAATAAGCCATTATATAGACACATTACACTGTTAAAGGTTCAGAGGCAGAGAGGAGTACAGGATAAAGATCAGGGGGCTTTGGAATCTGACCACTGGTTCTAATTCCAACACCATGGCTAGTGATTTTGAGACCTTAAGCCAAGGTCAATTTCCTTTTTTGAAAAATAAGGAAAACACCAGTTTCTTCACAAAATCAAACGAACCTACTATTTCTATGCGCTCCTCCACCTTCTCCAACTAGTTATGTCATCAAGAACAAAAGGTGCTCACAGGACTGGCTGGTGAGACTTTTTCCTTACTTTGAACACAATCTCAGGAAAAGTCTTAAGGGCATTAGACTTTAAAGGGCACTAGAAAAGGGCATCATGCTTGGTAGAAAGTGTTGGTGAAAATGAAGGAAACCCTCAGTGAAAGGGACTGACACAATAGTGGAGACTAGAGGCTCAAACTTATCAAAGATCATGAAGATGGCACAAGACCCATCAACGTTTAGATGATAAGGTCAACTAACATACAAAAAGTAGCTGAGTCCAACCCAACAGCAGCAACTAACAGCAACGTCCTTTACCCTACTCAAAGAACAGATAACGAAACTAAGTCCAATCCAAGCGGAACCCAACAGTCAGACTTGGAGATGTACTAGTCCCCTTTTACACCAGCGGAACCATGTAAAGACATTCAGAATTGGATAGTGGGCGAGTCAAGCGTCTTTCTGACTCCGCGGACTCGACGGGAAGGACCCTGATATGCTTAATTAAAGACAGTTACCATGACGACAGTCTCTAGGCAGCGTGGGCAGAGCTCTCAGTGGGGCTAGAGGGTGGGCCGCCACTGGACCCTGCGCGCGCCCGCCACCAACTTTCCCTCCAGACTTGTGAGGGGCGGTGCGGGGGGGGTGGGGGGCCGGCACGCTCCGCCCCCGATGCTGGGTCGCGCACGTCCACGCTCGGTGGCGCGCACGCCTGCGGGAGCCCTCTCCAGGCAACCTAGTGCTGATCGCTCGTGCCGGTCCGGCCGTTAACCGTCCTTGCGGGAAACCAGGGGCTAGAGAACAGCCCCCTCCCCTTGCTAGGTTTCCTCTCTCTTCCCTCCCGGTCGCCCCCGGGGCATGAGCAGCAATGGCCGGCTGCAGCCCTGAGGAGAAAACTTACCGGCGCTTCCTGGAGCTATTCCTGGGCGAGTTTCGCGGGCCGTGTGGCGGCGGCGAGCCGGAGCCAGAACCTGAACCCGAGTCAGAGCCTGAGCCCGAGCCCGAACTGGTAGCGGCTGAGGCGAGCGAGGTTTTGGTCGAAGAACCTGGTGAGGAGGTGGCGACTCTGGCCGCGACTGAAGAAGGGGAGCAGGAGCCCGAGCAAGACCCGGAGACCGAGGAGGAGGTGGTGGAGGAGGAGGCGGCGGCGGCGGCGGCGGCGGCGGAGGGCGACGAGGAGGAGGCGGTGGCCGCCCCGGGGCAGTCGGCCGTGCAGCCGCCGCCGCCGCCGCCGCAACCCCAGCTGCCGCCGCTTCCTCCGCTCCCGCGGCCCCTGTCGGAGCGCATCACCCGCGAGGAGGTGGAGGGCGAGAGCCTGGACCTGTGCCTGCAGCAGCTCTACAAATAGTTAAGTAGCGGGGCTCGGCTGGGGTGGGCCCGCGGTTCCCGCCTCGCTGGCCGCGGACGCGACTCCCGGCCCCTAAACTGCTGCCTTTGCCACCCCTTGCCGCCGCGGAGAGCGCCCCTGCGGGGGGCCCCGGGCAATCGGCGACGCTCGGCCCCCGCGCCTCCTGCCGGCCGGCGCGGCCCCTGGGGTTCCCTCGCGCGCCCCCTCACACACCCTTTCCCCTTCCTGCCGTGAAAGGTCCTTTCTCCTCCTCCGGGAGGATGCCTCCCACCCGGGTCTCTTTGCCCTGTCGGGGTCCCTTGTTGTTCGGCGGTAGAGGGACGCGGCTCCTTCCTAGGCTGAGCTCAGATGCCTCTGCGTAACCGCCACTACGGTGATAATACCGGCAGGGCTTCCAGATCGGAGACACCGGCATAGATTCGGTCACGCTCCATGTTGGAAGTGAAAACTCTTTAGGTTGCTTAATACGCGGGAGCCGAGTATCTTAGTTTAAAGAAATTTGATAATTGAGTGGGGGAGGAATTGTGAGGGAAGGGTAAGCACCATGTTGCCTGAGCCAGCCTTCAGATGAAAGTCATAATTGATTAAAGTGGAAAAGTCAGGCTGCTTTGATAAAATTGCAATTATGTGCAGTATTTGCAGTTCATTAAGTAGATGGGGTCGGGGGAGAGAAAGCAGATGGCTTAGCTACACTGATCAAAGTCTAAAATAGAAAGGTCAAGGCTTTGCCTTTCATCCCAGTTCTGGTTTTTTATGGGCTTGAAATAGAAACGGTTTACAGTTGCGTTTTTTTCCAAATGGAATTCTGAAATAATGACAGAGGAACATCCCAACTAGTCTGTGAACACATTGGGAGTCCTTTGCCATTCAACTGATAGTTGTAATGAAAGGTGTTACTCTGCCCCCTCTCCCCCCCCAAAAAAAAGTTTACTACTGAACGACTGACTGCAATTAAATTTAAGCTCAATTCTTGATTTTTTGCAAACGGCTAACTAAAATAAGGCCTAGAAGTTAAAGCTGTTTTGTTTTCAGTCAGCTAAGAGACACCCAATCAAATAATTCATTCCTTTCAAAGCAGCAGTACAGAAAAAGCATTTAAGACATTTGCTTTCGAAGTGGACTGTGTGCATAGCCCAACTTTACAAGCAATTAAAATTTAATTTAATATACTGTTTGATTACCAAGGTGATAGTGGGGGTGTGCTGTGTAGTTGGTTCCGATTCATAGAAAACCTCTATAGGGTTTCTGAGGCTATAAATCTTTATTGGAGCAGAAAGCTTGGCTCTCTTTTGGAGCTGCTGGTGCATTTGAACTGCTGATCTTGCTGTTAACAGCCCAATACATAACCCGCTTTGCTACCAGGGTTCCTTGATTACCTGCTTGCTTTTTTGCAAGGTAATACTTGCTTTTTTGAAAAATGTGAAAAATAAAGTGTAATAGAGCCACCCAGAGATACACAGTATTAATTATTAAAGTATTTCTTAACAGTTACTGAAAACTAGTATAGACAAGGGCTTATAAAGTGTCATGTTTTACACTATGTAAATGCATTTTTAAAACTTTCCACTTTAAATGGGAAATGTTACCAGAACAAAGGAATTTTCCTAGCCTCAGACTGGTTGTATTTTGACAGTCAATTCTTACCTTTACAAATAGAGTTGCAAAAATAATGATACATTTAAATATTGGAGAAAGCCCAAACAAAGAGAATGCTTAGTTTAGAATAGTCCTGAACATTTACCATTTAAGGAGGTTTTAAAAAGTGAAACTTGTGGAAAGATGTTGGTAAGTAGATGTATTTTTCCAAATGGGAGGGAAGCAAGATTAGTGTTGATACATGTATAGACTAGAAAAAGTATTCAAATGAAAACTGGACATCTAATTGAGAAGGACATCATGCTTGGCAGAGAGGATCAGCAAAAAAGGGGAAGACCCTTACCAAGATGGAGTGACATAGTGGCTACAACAATAGGCTGAAGCATAGCAACCCTCCTGTGAATGACGCAGGACTGGGCAGTGCTTAGTCTTGTTGTACATGGGGTCACTATGAGTCAGAATCTACTTCATGGCACCTGACAACAGCTAACAGTCATTGAGTACGAAGTTAGGATTTGAAGTAAAACTAGGAAGATTTACTTAAATTTGGAAAACATTATTTCACTTTAAATCAGACTTCGTTTATACTGTGTGTTTTGTTGTTGGTTAGGTGCCATTGAGTCGATGCCGATTCATAGGTACCCTATGCACAACAGAACAAAATACTGTGTGCAGAAGTGATAAATCGATTTTTAGCAACTGTGAAATGATAGGCTTGTTTACATATGGTATCTTTAAGGCCCGGAACCGATTAAAGGGAAAAATCCCACAATCACCTCATAATTTAATAACAAAAAACCATATGACTTATGTACAAGAATCAGTATTGGAAAACACAATATTGTTGTTGTTAAGTGTCAAATAGTTGGTGCCGATACATAGCGACCCTGCATAGGGTTTCTGAGGAATGGCTGATAAGCTTGAACTGCCAACTTTGCAGTTCAGACGACTTTGCAGTCCAGCATATTAGCCCCCTAGTGCCACACCGCCACACCAGGACTCTGAAAGACACAGTAGGGATATACATTATGTCTTTGCCCAAGCACTTCATTTACAGATGCGAAGACTATGATTATAGACTAAGAAATGGTTTCAACATATTTCAATATAATCTGCCAACCATAAAACATTAGTGGCATATTTGAAATCATGGTTTCTTCAGTTAACTAGGAAATACGTAAAAATAATTCTGATTAGGAATAAGTTGGAGTTGCTTTTTGGGGAAAGGTGAGGATTTTTGTTTTCCTTCAAAGTCCCTCTCCCCTGTTTATTTGGGGAAATTCATAATAGTCTTTAAAATCTCTGTGAAGCCTGTCAAATGGTGCCAAAACCTCTTAATTGAAGTTACCTAAACTACAATGTTACCTATTGGATAGTCAATAAGTATTAAAGAAAAAAGAAAATAACACTGTATTTAATACCAATTTCCTGTCTCTCTTGCCTTTTTCTCTCAATTGTATATACACACATACCTACCAACTTTACAAACGCAATATTTTAGAAATACGCAGTATATAGATGATAGTAGACTGAGGTTCTTTGAAGAGTAAGAATAAGAGTTTATCTTCTCAATACTAATTTATGTATATACTAGTTGATATATTTTAAAGAAGTATTATAAATTTCATTTTTCTCAACATTTTGCTTCTCTCAAAAGAGTTTTAGAATAGGAACAGCAGACATGTGTATTATTCTTCATTTTGGTATGCTTAAAGTTTAGGATTAATTTGAGATTAGCAGTTACAGGCATATTTCGTAGATATCCTTGTTTGGTTCCAGACCACTGCAGTAAAGCAAGTTTCACAGTAAAGTGAGCCATACATATTTTTTGGTTTCCTAGTGTATATAAAAGTTATATTTACACTATACTATAGTTTATTAAGTGTGCAGTGTTTTTGTTAAGTATACCATTAAGTCAATTCCGACTCATAGTGACCCTGTATAGGATTTCCAAGGAGTGGCTGGTGGGTTTGTACAGCACTATACCGGGACTCTATGTACGGTAGCATTATGAAAAAAAGTGAAATATTGCAAGAATTACCAAAATGTGTCAAAGAGACATGAAGTGAGCTCATGCTGTTGGAAAAATGGTACAGATAGGCTTGCTCATGCTGGGTTGTGTAAACCATCAATTTGTAAAAACTGCACTTTGAATTGAATAAAGCCAAGTACAATAAGATGAGGTATACCTGTACTTAGATAAGTAAAGGATCAAGGTTTAAATGAACAAAATATAGGGTTATAATTAGCAACTTCAATGTCTTTCAGAACAAATTTTGGGATAAAATTTTCACTTTAGCTTTCAAAGTAGAAAATATCTACTTAGTTATTTCTTTGTGACACTAGATTAAAACAACATACAACATTTTAAAAGAAAAATAATAATCTGAAAATGGCAAAATTCCCTTAGAAGAGAAAGACATCTGTTGTGGATTATAAATAACTTTTTAGGACTGTTTAAACAATTTTATTTAAATATATTAACCCTCACAATTCAGAGATAAATGCATGCAATATGTTAGAACAATTTTACTGAATGCTTAGTTATTAGACTGCAGTCTATGATTTGGAACCTTCAGTAGCTAAAAAAGAAAAGAAAAAAAGATCTATGTTTTATTCCTTTCTGTAAATTTAAATTCTCCTTAAGTGTTTTCTTAGTATATAATGTTAGGATTTCTGGAGTTAATGAAATAACCTCTTTGGAAGATAGAGGGGAAATGTTGCATTGAAATGATTTGCAAATGAGAAACAAATTATAACTGATCCTATAGCAGATATTAATATAAGATTACTTGTTTAGGCTACAAATACTATGTATTTGATTTTCCATACTATACTCGTTGTCTTTGAGTCAATTTCAAAAATTTGTTTTAATTCAGAAGAAACAAATATTCTGAAGTATTTATTAATACTACATATCATCAGAAGGAGCTCTGGTAGTGTAGTGGTTACAAATCTGGCTGCTAACCTCAAAGTCAGCAGTTTGAAACTACCTGCTATTCCTTGGGAGAAAGATGAGGCTTTCTGCTCCCGTAAAGATTTACAGTGTTGGAACCTGTATATAAGGTCACTATGAGTTGGGATTGACTCTATGGCACATAACCACCACCACATTTCAAATGTGATGTATCATCACATTTCCAGAGCACCTGTTTCCTCAGTTATTCATTAAGTCTGAGTTGGACTTCCCGAGGGGGAAACAGTAATCCCAGCAACCTGGCAATGTTAAGTAGTTCCAGATGGTTTGCAATAGTAATGAGGATGGGCACTTTAAAAATGAATTGGGAAACTCACATCCATGTATTAGTCCATTTATATAAGTAAAAGTGAGACAAAATTTAATGATTTTCCTATCTATCCCAAAGTCAGTGATTCACATTCCTTTTAAAATGTAACTAAATAT